TTATCACTCCATTCTCCTGTTTCTCGAACCGTGTCTTCCGGTCGCGCGAGGTTCGGGCGCTTGAGCCGAACCGGTTATTCGTTGCCGAACCGGTTTCCGCCCGGTCGTGCTCCTTTGTCGGAACTCACGAGTACGTCTCGCCGGAGGTTGCCTCCGGACGGTCGCACGGCAACGCCGTGGACTGGTGGTCGTTCGGAGTATTCATCTACGAACTCATATACGGTCGCACGCCGTACGCGGGCGCGTCGAAGGAGGCTACGCTGCGGAACATCGTGAAGAAACCCCTGGCATTCCCCACGGCCACGCCCTTGAGCGGTCTTGAAGTCCACGCGCGGGATTTGATATCCGGCTTGCTGCACAAGGACCCGGCGCGGCGGCTCGGCTCGAAGCGCGGCGCCGCTGACGTCAAGAAGCACCCGTTCTTCAAAGGGCTGAACCTGGCGCTGATTCGCATGCAGACGCCGCCCCAAGTGCCTGCCTCCAGAAGGACCAAAACGACGTCGCTGTACCCTGTGAAGGGTAACGGCAACGATATAAGACAACAGCAAACGACGCGGTCGTTTGATTTTTACTTTTAGAAAGAGAAAAAAGAAGAAGATTAATTAAAGGGTTTTGCGCCACGTCTTCAGTGACGTACTGTATATTAGAGGCTATGGAATAAAAATATTTAGATTAATTTTTAGTTTATTATGTCGACGAAAACAGAGGTGAAAGTGAAATAGTTTGAAATAGTTGGGACGTCGAAGGAGGATCATGTTGTTGAACCTTTTTGGTTGCCCTATGACGGAATAATTATGAATAGGTGCCTTTTAAAAGCTGAACTTGGGTCTCTATTTCCTCTTATAGAAAGCTTGCAGGAGACACTGCGGAAAATTAGTTGGACATTACTAAATGCAGAAGATTCGTTGCTTAAAATCTTTTCCTCCTTCACACTCACAGTCAAAAGAAAGATTATTATGGTATGTAATTCCAACGTGAATTTTCATTTCTTTATGCATTATCATATAAACACATAAACTCAATATCCTGCCTAATTCGAAATTCGTTAGCTTATAAAAATGTAATTTCATATCTTATTGTCGTTATTTATTAAGTTGGAAACCGTATAATAAAATATCGTGTGATTTTTATATTTTATTTCTGTCAAAACAAAATTTTTTTCTTGAAGCAGCAAGCTGAGAAAAAAAGTTCAAGTTTACAACTCATCATTGACCTAATTAAGCAGAGAAGTTTTTTTAACTTGCTCTGCCTCAACATGGGGAACAAAGGAAAAACAGCATAAAGAAACGTGCATAGAAATATAGATAAAGAAAGAAATGCGACTTTCTTGCATTAATCAATATTCATTTGTTTTTCACCCGGCCATATAATACATTATATATATAGGATGTCAATAGAATCACTATTTTACATTTAATGGACACGATGAAAACTTCCCAACTCATACATAAATGTCGTATAAACCTCTGTAGATTATATTTTAGATGCCATATAGTTGTTTTCCTTCTTGGCAATATATGCATCTAACTTAATTGAAAGAATGTTGACCATAATGTGCGATGCACGTAAAGAATTGCAAGACTTTAATAGGATATGTTTAAACATGTCGCAGCATGCAACGTATAAATATAAATAATTATATATCATCATTTACAACTTGTTCATGATGTGTGCCTCGAGATTTTTATCAGCATGGACTCAATTAAGAATCGATCCCCCAACTCATCAAAATTCTTTGTTTCTGCTTTAAAATGCTACTTTCAGCCTTTACAGATATATATATTCATTCCATCACATCTAAAACATTGAGCTTTAATTCCCTTTTTCTCTTTGCCACGCTTTAGAATGTCCGAAACTCTTTTCTCTCGTACACCAGACAGGTGAGTTCGCCATTTTATCAATTATGTTTCTAAGAATCCTTTTGTCTGCTTCGGCTGCATTTTGGCACTCATGTAGAAAGTCTATGGTTGAAATTCACTACAATAAATTATTTAATTAATTAAAACATGTGTAATTCACTTTCTCTTGTTCAATATATTTCCCTGGTTGAAAGTTAGTTCAAACAGTTTCTGTTTTGGTCTAGCAAGTTGGTCCAAATAGTTGAATTCATGAGTTTGTAGCTCAATATATAGTATTGGGTGTAATGTCATAATGGGCTTTCAATCACCCATCTAAGTGAGCTTTTCTCATCACGTGCTTGCACTTCAAAAAAACCGGGGGAAAATGTTAGAGCAGGTGATGATTAAATATTAAATTCACTGCAACATTTTGTTTAGTTGTTAGTCTTGTAATTATCTTGAATATTAATAGAATGATTCAATGTAGATAAATTTCTCGTATGTTCGACTCAGCATCTTTATCAATTAAAACTTAAAAGTAAGTTTTAAATTAAAATTAAAAACAATAAGTTTGAAAAAAAGTAAGCAAGAAGTTGTTTGCTAAATTTTATCTTTTTAGCTAAAAAGTTCTATTTTAAGTTATTTGTTTTTTTAAACTTCAAATATAAAATTAGTTATATTATCAAATGAAAAGTATATTTATAAATAAAAATATTATGTAAAATTATTTTAGTAATAATAAAAATACTAAAAGTTTAATTTATAAAATGCAAAAAATTTCTTATTACTTAATAAAATTTTATTTTAATAATGATGATTTGCAAATAATACATATAATATAAATTAATTAAGGACATTTAAATTTAAATTATAAAAGGTAAGCTACTCATTTCTTTACATTATATTATTTTAATAATCATATGAACCATTAATATTGACTTAGTAGTCAACATAAATACATCGTACACCATACATGAAGATTTAAGTTTGATTATTATTGTCTTTGTTATAATCTTTCTTAAAGATCAAAAGAAACTCTAACAATCATATATGCTAAACTTAGATAATAGACATCCATATATTTAATAAGAAAGGCTTAGTTATATTTTAATATTATATGTTAAACTAAAATGATACGATGAAATATTAATTAATTCTATAAAATTTTGTACATTTATTTTATTTTATAAAAAAATTCAATTGACGAATTGATAAATTTTATCATTTATAAAATATTCTAAAATGTATTATTTTGTTAATACTTAAAGCTAATGTCAACGATTCTGTCCTTATTAAAACACTCCCTTTCATGTAATGATTTGAAAATGCACAAATATTACATAATTACAATAGTAAGATGAACTAATTAAGTAAATGATGATTCGACAATGCATGATTAAACGTTACTGTTAAGAAAATAACATATTTACTCCTAATAGTTAAGTTCAATAATTGTTTAAACATTAGAAAAATTATCGCAGAACACATATATTAGCTAGTACAGGATTGAATTGTATCCGTCAGACATGTGTTGCATTAAAAAAAGAAAAACTTAGAAAATTATTTTCAAGAGTTTCTCTCTTTCTAAATGCTAAGGAGTGGCAATACCTTTAATAAAACACTCCTTGAAAAAAAAAAAAAAAA